GCAATCCTGCTGCGCTCTCCACTACAAGGATTAAAAGGGTGTGTGACACATGCGCATAAACTGTGATCACACCTGGAGGCTGAGGTTTGGCTCGCATTACACAGAAGACGTCAGGACAAAGGTGACTCCTAAGATCCCCGAGAGCCTGTGTCCGCCCAGTCACAATGAGGTGGGCCTGCCCTGACCTGGACGAGTCCAGAGAGGGCTCATGTGGGACAAGAAGGCCATGGTCATTCCAGACTTGAGCTAGGAGCAGCAAGAAGGCTGAGAATGACTGAAACTGACAGCAGCAACCTTTGTTGCCCCCTCCACAGACAGCACATGCATAAGTGCTGAGTAAAAGGAAGTGGGATGCTATAAAACAGAGGCAATCATCTGGAAAAACACTACACAAAATTGCATTACCCTCCTGGTCTTTCACTGTTCCAGTTCGTACCTGAGCAAATAGAGACTGGGTCACATTGCATCAAAAATGAATTACAAATAGCAGATCAGTAGGATGCCCTACGGAAAGGTCCTGACCAGGAGCCAAGAGTTTTACACCTGATTCTGCAAAGCTGCATTACCTCTGGACCTCCATTCTCCCCCTGCAGAACTCCAGACGATTCTACAGTGCAAGGAACACTGTGATCAGTGTAACAGAACCCAGGGGAGGCGGGGCGACTGCTTCACAGGAAGGCTGTAATAATGTGTTTTCTTGAATCTCTCATCTTACCTTTTCAATTCAAAGTAATCCCAGAAAGTAGATACTGCCTGCAGTACATTCTTCCTGCCTTATCCTGAAGAGCCACCATTAAAACTAAAAACCACAAAATACACAGTTCAATAGTGGTCCAGAATGTAAGAACATTATCAAGATGTCTGAGGAGTCAATACCACTGATTCCCTAGTGCTTGTGCTTATCCACGCCAACTGCAGAAAGTCTAACTCACCCAGGACATCCTGTTTCTTCCTCAATCTTTTTATCAGACAGCCTCAATGTAATCAGAGTGATTTCATCTCTCCCACACGCTATCCATCTTTATAACAGGTCAAAATGCATCTAAAGTAATGAGATCAGATTGTTTAAATCCCTCAGAGCAATTATCAGGGTCTAAAACAAGAAATTAACAAGATAAATGTCAAAAATAATGAGCTAGCACATGTGGTGATCATGCCTGTAATTCCAGCTACCTGAGAGGCTGAGTCAGGAGAATCAGAAGTTCAAGGCCAACTCGGATGACTTGGAGAGACCTTGTCTCCAAATAAAATTTTTAAGAAAGGACTGGGACAGCACTGAGGGAGGACAATCACTGCAAGTTCGAGGCTAGCGTGGACTACAAAGTGAGCTCAAGGCCAGTCTAAACTGCACTGCAAAAGTCTTTCTGAAAAAGACCAAAAAAACAAAAAACAAAAAAGTACCAGGAAATGTAGCTCAGTGTACAGTGCTTGCCTAGCATGCATGAGGCCCTGGGTCTAATCCCCAGCACTGCAAAGAAAATATTAATAATTAACTAGTCCAAAGGGAGTGGAGGATTGAGGTAAGAGGCAAGAGCCCCTGCGAGTAATTTTTAGTACATCTACAAACAAACAAAAACAGCAAGAAAACAAAAAAGTAAAAGGTCTGAGAAACTGCAACTCAGTCTGGTTGGATGAGTAAGACCTACTTTAGAGGAAATGAACTGTTAATAACAGAAATCCACCTTGCTGCTGATAAAGTGGGGGACGCAGGAGAGCAAGGAGGAGAACGGCTATGGTAAAGAAAAGATGGCCCACAGCAAACTGGACCATCACTGAATCACAGAAACTACCAGGAATGTGAGATACCAGGAAAGCAAGTATGAAGATCCCACTCCTGAAAAAGATTACCCAGCTCACTCCCAAAAAGCCAGCAACATGGAAACCACAAGTGGGAAAATCAAAGCAGCACATTCCAAAGAACAGCAGGCGTCAGGACGTGGAGATGACCATGAGGAAGGACCTCAGGCCAGGAGAGTCAAAGAGATCACAGACCCCCATAGTCCCAGGTCTCTTAACTCTAAGAGCCAACGGGGTTCTAAGCCCCACCCTGCAGGAAAGACAGATACAAAGAACAGAATACGAAGGTGAATAGCCAATGTAACTGTCTTTTCTGCTGGAGAGCAAAAATAAATTGTTACACTTGAAAGATCTATAGGAATCTGCCCACATTTTTATAGCTGTAAAGCTACAGAAAATAACAGGTATGCTGAGCATGGTGGTGCACGCCTGTAATCCCAGCACTCGGGAGGCTGAGGCAGGAGGATCGTTGCGAGTTCAAGACCAGCCTGGGCTACAAAGTGAGCTCAAGGCCAGCCTGAACTGCATAGCGAGACCCAGTCTCAAAATGACC